CGTCGTCTCTGCCACCGCCTGACTCCGTGCTTCGCCAGGTTCTTAGCCTCCCGTCTTCTACTGGTCTTCCGTTACAGCCAGGCTCACCTCTGCCTGCTCCTTCTCCTTACGCTGAGCAGACAGGGGGCCTTACTGAGCGTCGTGAGCCTGCGTCGCGTCCTGTCTCACCTGTCCGTTCTGGTCGTTCCAGTCGTCGTGTTCCTCGTCAGCGTCAGCCGGCTGTCCCCGGCCCTTCCCTTGTAGTTCGTCGTCCTTCCTCTCCTACGCAGAGTGTTCCTCTGCCGTCTCCTCCTGCGTCTTCTCTGCCTGTCGTTGCGGACCCTGAGTCTGACCAGTTTCGTACTGAGCACCCTACTGTCACGCGTCTGCTAGCCACTGTTGTCACTGACCCGTCGTTTGAGTCCACTGCTGCGTCTGCCCTAGTCGCTGAGCTTGTCGACTTTGCTGCTGCCTGTCGTCTAGACTACGCTGCTAGTCTTGTTGCTGAGTCTGAGTCTGAGTCTGTCTATCCTCCGTCCGTCGGGGGTGAGTGTGCTCTTAGCACGGACGTCCTTGACGACAGGCACGAGGACCTTGAGTGTCTTGCGGCCACTGCGCCTCATCTCGTGGCCATGCTACTTGCCCCTGAGGGAGACCCGGATGCACCAGACATCCCCACCCCGCGCTCTTACGCTGAGGCGATCGCGGGTGAGTACTCCTCTCAGTGGCAGACAGCCATGGACGCAGAGATGGCATCCTAGAAGTCCACAGGCACGTACGTTGACGAGGTTCCCATCCTGGGGCGAACATCGTCAGTGGCATGTGGATTTTCAGGGTGAAGCGGCCGCCAGGTTCTCCGCCTGTCTTCAAGGCTCGTTACGTTGCTCGAGGTTTCAATCAGCGAGAGGGAGTTGACTTCTTCCAGACTTTCTCCCCCACCCCGAAGATGACCACTCTTCGGGTGCTGCTGCACGTTGCCGCTCAGCGTGACTACGAGCTTCACTCTCTTGACTTCAGCACAGCTTTCTTGCAGGGCAGCCTGCACGAGGAGATCTGGCTGCGCCGCCCACCCAGCTTCATTGGGTCGTTCCCTCCTGGTACCCAGTGGAGCCTCCGGCGGCCGGTCTACGGTCTCCGCCAGGCGCCACGTGAGTGGCACGACACACTGAGGACGACACTTGTGGCTCTTGGGTTTGCTCCTTCGACTGCTGACCCGTCGCTGTTTCTGCGCACCGACACTTCGCTGCCGCCGTTCTACATCCTCGTGTACGTCGACGACTTGGTCTTTGCCACTGCCGACACTGAGGCTCTCGCCCTGGTGAAGTCGGAGCTGCAGAAGAGACACACGTGCACAGACCTGGGTGAGCTGCGCAGCTACCTTGGCTTGCAGATCACCCGGGACAGAGCACGCCGCACCATCACACTGACTCAGCCACACATGGTGCAGCAGGTCCTTCAGCGCTTCGGCTTCACCTGGTCCTCGCCACAGCACACTCCTCTTGCTACAGGTCACTTGCTCTCAGCTCCACCTTCGGACGAGTCCGTAGAGCCGAGTGGTCCTTACTCAGAGCTAGTGGGCTGCCTCATGTACCTGATGACGTGCACGCGTCCTAACCTTGCGTAACCTCTTGGCCTTCTGGCTCGCTACGTGGCTCCTGGTCGGCACCGAAAGGTGCACATGGATGCTGCTAAGAGGGTACTACGCTACTTGTGCAGTACATCGAGCATGGGGCTCGTGCTTGGAGGGCGGAGTCCAGTTGTCCTCACTGGGCACTCAGACGCTTCTTGGGTTGACGACCAGGCTACACAGCGGTCGTCACAGGGTTACACGTTCAGCCTTGGCTCCGGCTCTGTTTCTTGGCGGTCTACACGCTCGTCTTCTGTTCTCAGCTCCAGTTGTGAGGCTGAGATCTACGCCACTGCCATGGCTGCACAGGAGTTACGCTGGCTCACCTACCTGCTGACCGACCTGGGAGAGCGGCCTCGTTCTCCTCCAGTTCTGTACGTAGACAACACGGCCGCCATTGCCTTGTGTCAGGAGCACAGACTGGAGAGCCAGGAACGAAGCACATCGCTCTGCGCTACTTCCTGGCTCGAGAGTTGCAGCAGCGGGGTCAGCTTCACCTTGCTTACGTGGCCACTCGGGCCAACACTGCTGATATATTCACCAAGGCACTTCCGCCTGGTGACCATCAGCGCTTTTGTACTTTGTTGGGCCTTGTGCCTACGTTTCCACACTTGTTGTAGTCTCTGCTTGTACTGTGGTCTATATATATACCTGCATGCTTGCTCTTGCTAGCGTGAGATCACTGTGCTGTTCTTGTTGCTTATATACCTCTGCATGTGGACTGGCCTTGTGGCCGTTTGCTTGTGCTCAGTGTGTGTGGTGACGTTGTGATCCACCCTGAGCTGTGTTTTGTTTCTTCTCTTGACTGGTCTTGTGACCGTTGCTTGCTCTGGCTATCCCCCATTTCGCCTATGGGGTGTGTCAAATATATGCATATCATTATCTAGGCTATATTGGGGATAGCCTTAGGGGGTACACAAAACTTCTCGATACCCTAGTCTTGTACCCAAACCTTCACCTAATCTACTCAATCATTGCCTTAGTTCTTAACACTTGGTGCACGGAGCCTTGACTCTTATAGCAGAGGGTACCAGAGCTGCTCTTATTTTTCCCTCTGCACATTTCCTCCTGCCTGTTTCTCTCCTTTCCATCACTAAATCAATCCAACAACGCCCAATGAGGCCCAACTCACTCGCTCACTCGCCTCGATCACTCGCTCACTTGCTCACTCACCTCGCTCACTCGCTCACTCGCTTCACTTAGTCACTCACTCAGTCACCCACTCGCTCACTCACTCACTTGCTCACTAGTCTCGCTCATTCGCTCACTCGCCTCATTCCCTTGCTCACTTGACCAGCACACTCGCTTACTCGCCTCACTCACTCGCTCACTTGCCGCAAGTCTGTAGCACAAGGGCCTTGTGGCCGCGTGAGTTGCGCTAGGCAAACTTGGAGTTTGGTACCTGTTGATTATAGAGGAGTACGGGAGACAACATTCTCGGGGAAGGCATTCGGAAGGCGTCATGAGGGGCGCTGCACGGTGAGGCGAGGAGAGGCTGGAATGGCGGCCGTAGAAACAGAAGCGCCGAGGAGAAGATAGATGCGATATAGCGTGGCAACAAAAATGCTTCATACAAAATGACACAGCGAGAAAAAATCTATGTGAAAGAGATGGGAATCAGATCCAGATATTTCGTTTGTAATGGTATGTAAATAAAAATATAAGAATGTAACACAAACCTAGAATTCTCTCTGGATTGTTGATCTGTCATGTTCAAAAGTGTAGGATTCCTTGACGAAGCTTACGACGGTCGTCGTTATTCTCATGTTTCCCGATGGGTCCTTGAGCGACATAGTGGGGTAACCTCGCGAGGGTTCCCAGAATCCTTGAACAACTCTCGCTCAGTTGTTGAGTTGACTGAGGGCGCGTCCTTCGGCACAGATGGCAAAGTTCATGTTTTTTGTTCAAATTTTAGCAAATGAACATTGGTCGACCTGTAGTCGACTACCTGAACATCTCATTGTCGAATCGCGTGTCCCTTTTCACGTCAAGCAAGTGACACAAAAATGCTCGACTTCTGAAGTTCGAGCTTATAGGGCACTGTCCGAGTCGCGCTTGACCGTCGTAGTTTACCTGGTTAGTAAACGAAGGCTTTGGTAGTCCAGACGATAGTGATTCTTGTCTTCGCAATTTTCGTAGCTTACTCGAGCGTGTGCAAAAGTGCACACGCTCGACAAAACGTGCACTCGTCATTCAGGTGTAGCTCGACCCAGGCTCAATGTCCATGTTTGTTTCCTTGATCTGGCTTGGAGTTGACGAACTTCGCTCGAGAATTGTTACCACTCAAAGCTCGAGATTTTGTTTTAAGTTGGGCCCAAAAGACACGCGCCCTGAGAGTCATTGTGCGTTGTTGAGAGTCGTTGCACGACTGTTGTTATTACTAGGCATTCCAGCTGACCCACTCGACCGAGCAGGAACCTCTACGACCATAGTCGTGCCAGCAAGGCAGAGAGCAAAGTGCCATGATGATGAGGTCAGGGTCAGGGAGGAAAGCGCGGCAAGGGGAGAAGGGAAGACTTTACATCGCCTTCATGGGATGTCCGGGAGTCCGGAAATCAAGGTTCGGGCATTGCACATGACACGTTCCATGATTTCGCACTATGCTGACGTTGACGCGGAAGGAATCTGGACGTCGTGCAAATAGACTTCACACGATCGCCGGGAGTCGTGCATGCAGAGTTGATTGGGCGCGAGGTTCCGCATTTCGTCAACGGTCGCACACGCAAGTGTCGGTTGGCGGCACGTGGGGTAAATCTGGCGCAACGTGGGAGGGAGCTTCCAGGCTGGACCAAATGCACTTTTGGGACGCTTGATGTAACTCTGTGTGATCCACGGAGATTCCCAAGAAGGCGATCTAGCTTCATCGCCCGAGGTACAACCGATTTCAACTAATTTCACGAAGTACCACCCTTTCTGGTGCAGTCGTAGTGACAGCAGCCAGAGTCTCGAGGATAAATCTCCGAGTACCTCGGCATTTTCTGTGTCATTTTCCTTTTCAAAACTACCGCCGTTCCCCTGCTGCTGCTACAATCGCTCTATGGCTTCTCACAAGCAACACTCGCATTCTGAGGAACAACATTCGTTGCTTTATAAAGAACGTCCTTATCGATCATGGGCTTTTCTTCTCCTACCATTGCTCTTCCTCACTCTACCCGTAACGCCACTCTCCCGCCCCACCAACCCCGGTGAGCAAACGGCCATGCACCACGGGCATCCGTAGCATACTATATCTGGGGCGCCTCAAAAGCAGGCTCGTAGCGTCCCCTTGTAATGCATCCTTCGCCTAGTCCGCTCCCTCCCTTCCCCCACTCACTCCCGTTTCCACCTCTTCCCTAGCCCCTGCTCTCCCTGGCCCCTGCTTTCCCAGCCAATCAATCTGCAGCTCCCCGTTATGATGCCTGCATGCTCTACATATTGTCCGCCTACGTACCCTCCCCCTTCCCTTGTCCTTTTGAAAGTTTCCTGCATATTTCACCTCACCCTACGTTTCCACTGCTCTGCCGCTTCCTGCCACCTCTTTCCCTCATTCCCCCCCTCGCCCTGGTCCCCTCCCCCCATCCCCCGCAGCTCCACCCCATGTCTCCGCGCTCTACATCGTCCGCCTGCGCTCCGCACCGCCCGTCGCCTCATACACAGGCGGAATCCCCGGCTTCCCGGCAACGGCCGTGTGGGGCAGCGACCCTAATGGCAACGCGATAGATGCCACGGCGGACGATGCATCCAACGGTGCCGATGCAGCCAACGGTGCGGATGCAGCCAACGGTGCCGATGCAGGCAACGGTGCCGATGCAGCCAACGGTGCCGATGCAGCCAACGGTGCCGATGCATCCAACGGTGCCAATGCAGCCAACGGTGCCGATGCAGCCAACGGTGCCGATGCAGCCAACGGTGCCGATGCAGCCCACAGTACTGATGCTGCCAACGGTGCCGAGTTTTCCTCCTCTGTGACTAGCAATGGTGGCGTTGACGCTGCTTCTGTTGAAAGCAACGGTGGCGTTGGCACGGCTTCTGGTGAACCTGTCACCGCTGCGGCTGCTGCCGCTACCAGCGGTTCAGTAGGCACAAACCGTCGGTTGCGGCGGCCGCGGTTGAACATGAGGGCGCCGGGCGTGAGGGCGTTCAAGCAGCTGCTGCAGCGCATGCAGCAGGCCGTGCTGAGAGACAGCGGGGTGGACGCAGGGAAGATGGTTTACAGGTGAGGGGAAGATGATCTATAGGTGAGAGGAGAGGGGACTTTATTGTGTGAGAAGATGGTGTATAGGTGAGGGGAAGATGGTGCACAGGTGAGGGGAAGATGGTTTATAGGTGTCATCTCTAGAGTCATCTCTTCACTCGCCTCTAGAGTCATCTCTTCACTCGCAGATTTTGCCGTATCAGGCGTCTCTATCACTCTTGCACCCCTCACCACAACCAGGTCAACCGCACAAGTTCACTCGTGGCCCCTGCTATGCTACCTTCCCTCCGCTTCCCCTTCCCACCCTCCCTCTGCCCCCCCTTCTCAGCTACGTGCGCGCGTCGAAAGACTTCTCAGTGGCCCTCTCCCTTCTTGTTTCCGCCACCCGCCCTCCCCTGCGCGCCTTCTCTCTTCTTCCCCTACCCGCCCTCCCCTGCGCGCCTTCTCTCTTCTTCCCCTACCCGCCCTCCCCTGCGCGCCTTCTCTCTTCTTCCCCTACCCGCCCTCCCCTGCGCGCCTTCTCTCTTCTTCCCCTACCCGCCCTCCCCTGCGCGCCTTCTCTCTTCTTCCCCTACCCGCCCTCCCCTGCGCGCCTTCTCTCTTCTTCCCCTACCCGCCCTCCCCTGCGCGCCTTCTCTCTTCTTCCCCTACCCGCCCTCCCCTGCCCGCCTTCTCTCTTCTTCCCCTACCCGCCCTCCCCTGCGCGCCTTCTCTCTTCTTCCCCTACCCGCCCTCCCCTGCGCGCCTTCTCTCTTCTTCCCCTACCCGCCCTCCCCTGCCCGCCTTCTCTCTTCTTCCCCTACCCGCCCTCCCCTGCCCGCCTTCTCTCTTCTTCCCCTACCCGCCCTCCCCTGCGCGCCTTCTCTCTTCTTCCCCTACCCGCCCTCCCCTGCGCGCCTTCTCTCTTCTTCCCCTACCCGCCCTCCCCTGCGCGCCTTCTCTCTTCTTCCCCTACCCGCCTTCCCCTGCCCGCCTTCTCTCTTCTTCCCCTACCCGCCCTCCCCTGCGCGCCTTCTCTCTTCTTCCCCTACCCGCCCTCCCCTGCGCGCCTTCTCTCTTCTTCCCCTACCCGCCCTCCCCTGCCCGCCTTCTCTCTTCTTCCCCTACCCGCCCTCCCCTGCCCGCCTTCTCTCTTCTTCCCCTACCCGCCCTCCCCTGCGCGCCTTCTCTCTTCTTCCCCTACCCGCCCTCCCCTGCGCGCCTTCTCTCTTCTTCCCCTACCCGCCCTCCCCTGCGCGCCTTCTCTCTTCTTCCCCTACCCGCCCTCCCCTGCGCGCCTTCTCTCTTCTTCCCCTACCCGCCCTCCCCTGCGCGCCTTCTCTCTTCTTCCCCTACCCGCCCTCCCCTGCCCGCCTTCTCTCTTCTTCCCCTACCCGCCCTCCCCTGCGCGCCTTCTCTCTTCTTCCCCTACCCGCCCTCCCCTGCGCGCCTTCTCTCTTCTTCCCCTACCCGCCCTCCCCTGCCCGCCTTCTCTCTTCTTCCCCTACCCGCCCTCCCCTGCCCGCCTTCTCTCTTCTTCCCCTACCCGCCCTCCCCTGCGCGCCTTCTCTCTTCTTCCCCTACCCGCCCTCCCCTGCCCGCCTTCTCTCTTCTTCCCCTACCCGCCCTCCCCTGCGCGCCTTCTCTCTTCTTCCCCTACCCGCCCTCCCCTGCGCGCCTTCTCTCTTCTTCCCCTACCCGCCCTCCCCTGCCCGCCTTCTCTCTTCTTCCCCTACCCGCCCTCCCCTGCGCGCCTTCTCTCTTCTTCCCCTACCCGCCCTCCCCTGCGCGCCTTCTCTCTTCTTCCCCTACCCGCCCTCCCCTGCCCGCCTTCTCTCTTCTTCCCCTACCCGCCCTCCCCTGCCCGCCTTCTCTCTTCTTCCCCTACCCGCCCTCCCCTGCGCGCCTTCTCTCTTCTTCCCCTACCCGCCCTCCCCTGCCCGCCTTCTCTCTTCTTCCCCTACCCGCCCTCCCCTGCGCGCCTTCTCTCTTCTTCCCCTACCCGCCCTCCCCTGCCCGCCTTCTCTCTTCTTCCCCTGCCCGCCCTCCCCTGCCCGCCTTCTCTCTTCTTCCCCTGCCCACCCTCCCTCTTCCCCCCCTTCTCAGCTACGTGCACGCGTCCAACGGTTTTGCAGCGATCCTCACGGCAGCGCAGGTGCAGCGCATGAGGCGGCACCCCTCTGTGGCGTCCGTCACGCCCTCTCGGACCATCACACGCCACGCCACCTCCACCACCACCGCCGACGCGTACAAGTCTCTCAACCTGCCCCACGCCCTCTCTTCTGCTGCTTCCGCTGCTGCCTCTCCCGCTGATGCCACTCCCACTGCTTCTGCCACTCCGGCTGGAGCGTCGAGCGACGGTGGCGATGGCACGGTGATTGGGATTGTGGATACCGGCGTGTGGCCGGAGCACCCCTCCTTTGACGACACCGTACGTTCTCAGCCGCGCATTGCTGGGCCTCTTCCCCTCACGTGCTGCCGCCGCCGCCGCCGCCGCCGCCGCTGCTGCTGCTGCTGCTGCTGCTGCTGCTGCTGCTTCTGCACCCCCTCACTGTTCACCTTAGAAGCCCACCCTCAATGTTCACCTTATAAGCCCACCCTCAATGTTCACCTGATAAGCCCACCCTCAATGTTCACCTGATAAGCCCACCCTCAATGTTCACCTTATAAGCCCACCCTCAATGTTCACCTTATAAGCCCACCCTCAATGTTCACCTTATAAGCCCACCCTCAATGTTCACCTTATAAGCCCACCCTCAATGTTCACCTTATAAGCCCACCCTCAATGTTCACCTTATAAGCCCACCCTCAATGTTCACCTTATAAGCCCACCCTCAATGTTCACCTTATAAGCCCACCCTCACTGTTCACCTTATAAGCCCACCCTCAATGTTCACCTTATAAGCCCACCCTCAATGTTCACCTTATAAGCCCACCCTCAATGTTCACCTTATAAGCCCACCCTCAATGTTCACCTTATAAGCCCACCCTCAATGTTCACCTTATAAGCCCACCCTCACTGTTCACGCCAACTCTCCTTGCAGAGTACTCAAATCTCCGAGCTCAGACCTTCGTTTTCCAACTTGCCAACCCCCTACACACCCCACCCCTCCTCGTCCCCGCCAGGGCTACAGCAGCACGCTCCCTGCTGGGTGGGCGGGCACGTGTCCCACTACAAGCGACTTCGCTTGTAACAACAAGATTATCGGAGGGGGCGTGTTTTACGCAGGCTTTGAGAGTGAATATGAAAGCGTGAACCTCACCCTCAACTGGCTGTCCCCACGGGATTCTAGAGGCCATGGCACATGGTGTGCCGGGTGAGTGAAGGGACGTGAGGTGAGTGAAGGGACGTGAGGTGAGTGAAGGGACGTGAGGTGAGTGAAGGGACGTGAGGTGAGTGAAGGGACGTGAGGTGGGTGCAGGGATGTGAGGTGAGTGCAGGGGCGTGCGGTGCGTGCATGTTGCATGTTGCACGGCGTATGGTGCACGGCACATGGTGTGCCGGGTGAGTGCAGGGACGTGAGGTGAGTGCACGGATGTGCGGTGCATGTTGCATGTTGCGTGGTGCATGGTGGATGGTGCATGGCGTATGGTGCAGGGTGGATGGTGCATGGCGCATGGCGCATGGTGCATGGTGCATGGCGCATGGTGCATGGCGCATGGCGCATGGCGCATGGCGCATGGTGGATGGCGCATGGTGCATGGTGCATGGCGCATGGTGCATGGTGGATGGCGCATGGTGCATGGTGCATGGCGCATGGTGCATGGTGCATGGTGCACGGCGCATGATGCATGGTGCATGGCGCATGGTGCATGGTGCATGGTGCATGGTGCATGGCGCATGGCGCATGGCGCATGGCGCATGGCGCATGGTGCATGGTGCATGGTGCATGGTGCATGGCGCATGGTGCATGGCGCATGGTGCATGGCGCATGGTGGATGGCGCATGGGGCATGGTGCATGGCGCATGGTGCATGGTGCATGGCGCATGGTGCATGGTGCATGGTGCACGGCGCATGGCGCATGGTGCAAGGTGCAAGGTGCATGATGCATTGTGCATCGTGCATGGCGCATGGCGCATGGCGCATGGCGCATGGCGCATGGTGCATGGTGCATGGTGCATGGTGCATGGCGCATGGTGCATGGTGCATGGTGCATGGCGCATGGTGCATGGTGCATGGTGCATGGTGCAAAATGCATGGTGCATGGTGCATGGTGCATTGCGCATGGTGCATGGCGCATGGCGCATGGTGCATGGTGCATAGTGCATGGTGCATGGCACATGGTGCATGGCTCATGGTGCAAGGTGCATGATGCATGGTGCATGGTGCATGGCACATGGTGCATGGCGCATCGTGCATGGCGCATGGTGCATGGCGCATGGTGCATGGCGCATGATGATCTTCGCAACTCCGACCACCCTCGCTCTCTATCAGTTCCCCCTACTCTCAAGCGTATGGCATGGCGCTGTTCAATGCTGTTCATTATGCTTTAGCAGACATGGGGAAAGGAATGCACGTAGCAAGGCCATTCCCCTCATAGCCGCTCATAGCCCCTCATAGCCCCTCATAACCGCTCGTAGCCGTTCATAGCCTCTCATACCACTGCAAGCCCCTCATAGCAACGGTATGGCATACCCCTCATACCCACTCCTTCCCTGCCTCATGCGCCCCAACTTCAGAGCGGCAGCGGGCAACAGCGGGGTTGAGGTGCCTGGAGGGGGCACCATCAGTGGCGTGGCTCCCAAGGCACGCCTGGCCATCTACAAGGTGTACTGGCTTCAATATTCTTCGCTCTCAGATGAAACGGACACCTACGGTACATACGCAGACGTCTTTGCAGCCGTTGATCAGGCCGTGGCGGACGGTGTGGATGTGCTGGCCGTGAATCTGATGCCCTTACCAGTGGAGGTCGGCAAGCGGAACTACTTCGACGACATTCCTTTCCTCGGCGCTCTTGCGGTGGGTGTGAGGGGCGTGCGGTGGGTGTGAGGGGCGTGCGGTGGGTGTGAGGGGCGTGCGGTGGGTGTGAGGGGAATGCGGTGGGTGTGAGGGGAATGCGGTAGGTAAGGCTTCGCTGGTTGGCCTGGTGGCCCAAGCTGTTTTCGTAAGCAGATTCGAGCGTCCCTACTAACGCGGTGGGTGGGTGTGACACGCGAGTACAGATCGGTACTGTACTTCCACTCATGCTTGCATACTATTGTAGCCCCCTTGTCAGCCATCCCTCATGTGGTTGTCTCAATTTCTCTGTGGTGATGCTACTCTCTCTGACCCTAGCACCCTCCACTAACTCTCCGTGCCCTTCTGTTTTCACTCCTTGTGCTCCCCCCCCTCCCTCCCTCCCTCCCTCCCTCCCTCCCTCCCTCCCTCCCTCCCTCCCTCCCTCCCTCCCTCCCTCCCTCCCTCCCTCCCTCGCTCCCTCCCTCCCTCCCTCCCTCGCTCCCTCCCTCCCTCCCTCCCTCCCTCCCTCCCTCCCTCCCTCCCTCCCTCCCTCCCTCCCTCCCTCCCTCCCTCCCTCCCTCCCTCCCTCCTCCCCTCTTCAGGCCGGAGTGACGGTGGTCCTGGCAGCGGGCAACAATCCCAAGTCGACACCAACTTTTCACCAGTACTGGTTCGGGCAGTTACATGTCGTCAAGAACTCTTCACCCTACTACATCAGCGTGGGGGCCAGGTGAGAAGGACTCGCTAGAGAGTGACGGAGGTTGCAGCCCCAGGCTATGAGGACATGTGCACACATGGTGATTCTTCCTCCTCTTCCTTGCCCAGGCTATGAGGACAGGCTACCACATGCTCTTCGTTCATGCACTTCTCCACGCTCTCCTCCCTCATCTCGCATCTCCTCCCTCATCTCGCATCTCCTCCCTCATCTCGCATCTCCTCCCTCATCTCGCATCTCCTCCCTCATCTCGCATCTCCTCCCTCATCTCGCATCTCCTCCCTCATCTCGCATCTCCTCCCTCATCTCGCATCTCCTCCCTCATCTCGCATCTCCTCCCTCATCTCGCATCTCCTCCCTCATCTCCTCCCTCATCTCGCATCTCCTCCCTCATCTCGCATCTCCTCCCTCATCTCGCATCTCCTTCCTCATCTCGCATCTCCTCCCTCATCTCGCATCTCCTTCCTCATCTCGCATCTCCTCCCTCATCTCGCATCTCCTCCCTCATCTCGCATCTCCTCCCTCATCTCGCATCTCCTCCCTCATCTCGCATCTCCTCCCTCATCTCGCATCTCCTCCCTCATCTCGCATCTCCTCCCTCATCTCGCATCTCCTCCCTCATCTCGCATCTCCTCCCTCATCTCGCATCTCCTCCCTCATCTCGCATCTCCTCCCTCATCTCGCATCTCCTCCCTCATCTCGCATCTCCTCCCTCATCTCGCATCTCCTCCCTCATCTCGCACCTCCTCCCTCATCTCGCATCTCCTCCCTCATCTCGCATCTCCTCCCTCATCTCGCATCTCCTTCCTCATCTCGCATCTCCTCCCTCATCTCGCATCTCCTTCCTCATCTCGCATCTCCTTCCTCATCTCGCATCTCCTCCCTCATCTCGCATCTCCTCCCTCATCTCGCATCTCCTCCCTCATCTCGCATCTCCTCCCTCATCTCGCATCTCCTCCCTCATCTCGCATCTCCTCCCTCATCTCGCATCTCCTCCCTCATCTCGCATCTCCTCCCTCATCTCGCATCTCCTCCCTCATCTCGCATCTCCTCCCTCATCTCGCATCTCCTCCCTCATCTCGCATCTCCTCCCTCATCTCGCATCTCCTCCCTCATCTCGCATCTCCTCCCTCATCTCGCATCTCCTCCCTCATCTCGCATCTCCTCCCTCATCTCGCATCTCCTCCCTCATCTCGCATCTCCTCCCTCATCTCGCATCTCCTCCCTCATCTCGCATCTCCTCCCTCATCTCGCATCTCCTCCCTCATCTCGCATCTCCTCCCTCATCTCGCATCTCCTTCCTCATCTCGCATCTCCTCCCTCATCTCGCATCTCCTCCTCATCTCGCATCTCCTCCCTCATCTCGCATCTCCTCCCTCATCTCGCATCTCCTCCCTCATCTCGCATCTCCTCCCTCATCTCGCATCTCCTCCCTCATCTCGCATCTCCTCCCTCATCTCGCATCTCCTCCCTCATCTCGCATCTCCTCCCTCATCTCGCATCTCCTCCCTCATCTCGCATCTCCTCCCTCATCTCGCATCTCCTCCCTCATCTCGCATCTCCTCCCTCATCTCGCATCTCCTCCCTCATCTCGCATCTCCTCCCTCATCTCGCATCTCCTCCCTCATCTCGCATCTCCTCCCTCATCTCGCATCTCCTCCCTCATCTCGCATCTCCTCCCTCATCTCGCATCTCCTTCCTCATCTCGCATCTCCTCCCTCATCTCGCATCTCCTTCCTCATCTCGCATCTCCTCCCTCATCTCGCATCTCCTCCCTCATCTCGCATCTCCTCCCTCATCTCGCATCTCCTCCCTCATCTCGCATCTCCTCCCTCATCTCGCATCTCCTCCCTCATCTCGCATCTCCTCCCTCATCTCGCATCTCCTCCCTCATCTCGCATCTCCTCCCTCATCTCGCATCTCCTCCCTCATCTCGCATCTCCTCCCTCATCTCGCATCTCCTCCCTCATCTCGCATCTCCTCCCTCATCTCGCATCTCCTCCCTCATCTCGCATCTCCTTCCTCATCTCGCATCTCCTCCCTCATCTCGCATCTCCTCCCTCATCTCGCATCTCCTTCCTCATCTCGCATCTCCGCCCTCATCTCGCATCTCCTTCCTCATCTCGCATCTCCTTCCTCATCTCGCATCTCCGCCCTCATCCTGCGTCTCTTCTTGCCCTTCTCATGCCAACCAGCACCCTCCCTGCCCCACCACGCAGTACCGTGCCTCAGGCCGCCTTCATTTGAATGTCAACAACAACAACAACAGCAGCAGCAGCTGTACGAGCAGCGTCAGAATCTCCTGCAAACACCACAGGCCCAACAGCAACAGTATTATGCCCATCAGCAACAGCATGCCCCCACATGTCAGCACTGGTGGGAACCGGACTTCCTGCCACCACCACCCCTTCAGCAACTTCCTACCCGAGGGTTCCCGAATGGTCCGCGTCCGGCCCAGCCATGATGGCCCAGTGCACCATCTGCCACCCAAGGAAGACTTTCCCCTCCAACGCCATTCTCAAGCCGGACATCATCGCCCCGGGAGTCAACATCCTTGCCGCTGCTTCCGGGGCAACCGTCGGCGAGACGGGGTCGTTCATGGCTCGTAAGAGCACGGCCGTGGCGGCGGCGCATATTGCCGGTGTGGCTGCTCTGATCATCCAGCAGCATCCTGATTGGACGCCTGCAAAGGTCATGTCTGCCATGATGACGACAGCGCGCCGCACAGACAACAAGAAGAATCTTATTAAAAATCTACATGGGAAGCCAGCCACGCCGTGGCAAATGGGAGCGGGGCATGTGTTTCCCGCTAGTGCGCTTGACCCTGGGTTGACCTATGATGCCGGGGAGCAAGATTTCCGCAACTTTCTTGCTGACGTGAGCATGAAAAGGGCTCGACAGACGTTCGGACAGGTCCCAGGAACCTGAATCGTCCTTCTATCTCGCTGGTCAACATAGCGAATAAAGTTACTGCTACACGGACTGTGACGAACGTCTCAGATACCACGTCAACCTATAGGGTGAGGATAAAGGCCCCCAAGTTTGTGAGTGTGAGAGTGGTGCCTTCAAAGTTTACCATAGCTCCTGGGGAGCGAGTAAGGTTCAAGGTGAAGGTTGTAGTGTGGATGAGGTTCAGGTTGTTCAAGTATGGCAGCATCACGTGGGAGGATGACAAGGGGCATTCTGTGCGCTCGGTTCTTGTTCTCCATTGCAAACATACTTGCATGTACTTGTGCTAGATTTGGTGTCAATGCGTGGTGTGTTGTGCAATGTACTTCTCTCACCTTCTTGCTGTTACTGTACTACTTGGCGCAACAATTTCTTTCAATGAGTTTACCACATCCTACTGTCGAGAGTAAAGGGAAAGGATGGGTTTGACTATCTAGAATGTTGGGTACAAGTACCAAAACCTATACCCTACATTAGCGACCCCACTAAAGCCTATATTTAATTATAACACAGGCATATAATTTGACACACCCCCATAGGCAAAGTGGGGGAGAGCAAAGGGTCACAAGACCAGTCAAGAGAAACAAAGCAAGCTCAGGGTGGATCACAACATCACCACACACACTGAGCACAAGCAAAGGGTCACAAGGCCAGTTCACATGCAGAGGTATATACGCAAGCAAGCATGCAGGTATATATATACCGTAATCCCCCGTATATAAGACCCTAGGGTATTATGATAATCACCCCTAAAAAGGCTGGGGGGTATAATTAAATGGTATATTTTTTAGAAGACCCGAGTCTGTTCACATTGACATTTATAAGAATGCACGATGTTGTACATTTCAGTCTCGTAAGTTCAATAGAATCAGGGCCTCAGAAGTCAGCGAAAAAAGGCTGATTAGGGGTAAAAATGCTGATATTTCAGTGCTGGGAAGAAAGTGGGGCTGATTTGTCAGCTTTTTTTTCATTGTACCGGCTGATTTTTCAGCATTTTTTTCATTGTATGGTCTGAAATTTCAGAGTTTTTTTAGAGGTGTACACTGACTGATCAGTGTTGTAACGGGTGTGTGGGCTGAAATCCCACTAGTGGAGATTCGTGTAGTGCCGAGAATCAAAAACCTGCCTGGCCAATCAGATGGCACGAATGTGCAATCTAGTTTCTGGTTTCTGGATGCAAGTCTTTCAGCTTGACTCGTCACTACAGATTCGCCCCGAGACAGCAAAATTGCCCCTACAGAACAGATTCGCCCCGTCAGAGCCACAACAATTTCGCCCAATCACAAGAATTTTCGCTCTGACACAACACGTTCTTCCAGAAATTCGCCCAATCACTGGAAATTAGCTCGGATTCGCCCATGTTGTTGCCGATAGAAGGTACTGTATCTTCGTGTGTGAAGCTGTGTAGGCACGTCGTGTGCACTGTTGGCAGCACGTCGCGTGTTGCGCTATAGGAAAGCTTGAAGTTGTGTTCAGCCTTTGTTTTTAAGCAAGGCTGAATGATCAGCCAATTTTTTAAACTAAGCACTGAAATTTCAGCTTTTTTTTTTCAAGGCTACCCTGATTGATCAGCCTTCATCCCACTCCCAGGGCTGACGATTCAGCCTAGGCCAAAACGAATCTGAGGCCCTGAATCGAATCGAACTTTTACATCGTCCTGAATCAGAATTGCGCGAGGGCGTTTCCCTGACTGTGCACAGAGATTTGGCACGTCACTTTGCCCGCGTGCCAGCTCATCCTGACTGGACGCGCAACAAGTGAAGCCTTCGAAAGTCAAACACATTGAAAATGGGTGTTGACTCAATTGAAATTCGAAATTCGTTACCATTTTCAATTGCATTTTTTTTTGTAAAATCCGCACTTCTCTAGTATGTGGGGGGTTCTTATAATGTTAGGAGCCATTTAGGGGGTATAACTCACATGTACTCGAATAGAGCACCCGGGTCCGTATTGTAGACCCGGGGGTCTACAACTGGGGGGGGTCCTATATACGGGGGATTACGGTAGATCACAGTACAAGCAACGTCTACAGCAAGTGAGGAAAAGTGGGCACAAGGCCTAACAAAATGCAGAAACGCTGATGATCACCAGACGGAAGTGCCTTGGTGAATATATCAGCAGTGTTGGCCCGAGCCACGTAAGCAAGACGAAGCTGACCACACTGCTGCAACTCTCGAGCCAGGAAGTAACGCAGAGCGATGTGCTTCGTTCTGTGCTCCAGTCTGTGCTCCTCACAGAAGGCAATGGCTGCCTTGTTGTCGACGTACAGCACTGGAGGAGAACGAGGCCGCTCTCCCAGATCGGTCAGCAGGCAGGTGAGCCAGCGTAACTCCTGTGCAGCCATGGCTGTGGATTAGATCTCAGCCTCACAACTGGAGCTGAGAACTGAAGACGAGCGTGTAGAACACCAAGAAACTGAACCAGAGCCAAGGCTGAAGGTGTAACCCTGTGAGGACCGCTGCGTAGCCTGGTCGTCAACCCAAGAAGCGTCTGAGTGCCCAGTGAGGACAACTGGGCTCCGCCCTCCAAGCACGAGCCCCATGCCCGACGTACTGCACAAGTAGAGTAGTACCCTCTTAGCAGCATCCATGTGCACCTTTCGGTGCCGACCAGGAGCCACGTAGCGAGCCAGAAGGCCAAGAGGGTATGCAAGGTCAGGACGAGTGCAGGTCATCAGGTACATGAGGCAGCCCACTAGCTCTGGGTAAGGACCACTCGGCTCTACGGACTCGTCCAAAGGTGGAGCTCAGAGCGAGTGAACCGTAGCCAGAGGAGTGTGCTGTGGCGAGGATCAGGTGAAGCCGAAGCGCTGAAGGACCTGCTGCACCATGTGTGACTGAGTCAGGGTGATGGTGCGTCGTGCTCTGTCCCGGGTGATCTGCAAGCCAAGGTAACTGCGCAGCTCATCTAGGTCTGTGCACGTGTGTCTCTTCTGCAGCTCCGACTTCACCAGGGCGAGAGCCTTAGTGTCAGCAGTGGCAAAGACCAAGTCGTCGACGTACACGAGGATGTAGAACGGCGGCAGCGAAGTGTCGGTGCGCAGAAACAGCGACGAGTCAGCAGTCGACGGAGCAAACCCAAGAGCAGCAAGTGTCGTCCTCAGTGTGTCGTGCCACTCACGTGGCGCCTGGCGGAGACCGTAGACCGGCCGCCGGAGGCTCCACTGGGTACCAGGAGGGAACGACCCAGTGAAGCCAGGAGGGCGGCGCAGCCAGATCTCCTTGTGCAGGCTGCCCTGTAAGAAAGCTGTGCTGAAGTCAACAGAGTGAAGCTCGTAGTCACGTTGAGCGGCAACGTGCAGCAGTACCCGAAGAGTGGTCATCTTCGGGGTGGGGGAGAAGGTCTGGAAGAAGTCGACTCCCTCCCGCTGACTGAAGCCTCGAGCAACGTAACGAGCCTTGAAGACAGGCGGAGAACCTGGCGGCCGCTTCACCCTGAAAATCCACATGCCACTGACGATGTTCGCCCCAGGCGGGGGAACCTCGTCGACGTAGGTGCCTGTGGACTTCCAGGATGCCATCTCTGCGTCCATGGCTGTCTGCCACTGAGAGGAGTACTCACCCGCGATCGCCTCAGCATAAGAGCGCGGGGTCGGGATGTCTGGAGCATCCGGGTCTCCCTCAGGGGCAAGTAGCTTGGACACGAGATGAGGCGCAGCGGCTGCAAGACACTCAAGGTCCTCCTGCCTGTCCTCAAGGACGTCTGTGCCAAGAGCACACCCACCCCCGACGGACGGAGGACAGACAGACTCAGACGCAGCAACAAGACTAACGGCGTAGTCTAGACGACAGGCAGCAGCAAAGTCAACAAGCTCAGCGACTAAGGCAAACGCATTTGCAGACTCAAACGACGGGTCAGTGACAACTGTGGCTAGCAGACGCGTGACAGTAGGATGAGCAGCACGGGTGCAATCAGACTCAGGCTCAGGAACGGTAGGCAGAGAGGACGCAGAAGGGGACGGCAGGGGAACACGCTGCGGAGGAGAGGAAGGACGACGGACTACGAGGTGGGTGCCGGGGACAGCCGGCTGACGCGACCGAGGAACACGACGACCGGAACGACTAGAACGGACAGGCAGGACAGGACGCGACGCAGGCTCACGACGCTCAGTAAGACCCCCTGTCCGCTCAGTGTAAGGAGAAGGAGCAGGCAGCGGTGAGCCAGGCTGTAAAGGAAGACCAGTAGACGAAGGGAGACTAAGAACCTGGCGAAGCACAGAGTCAGACGGTGGCTGAGACGACGGAGACGGTGGAGCAAAGAACAGGCGCGGTTGTGCAGCGCCACCACCACCAACAGCTCCAGCACCCTCAGCAGCTCCAGCACCTCCAGCAGCTCCAGAACCCTCAGCTCCAGCTCCTCCAGGACCAGCTCCACCAGTAGCAGCACCCCCAGAACCGGCACCTCTAGTCCTAGGGTCTCCAGCAGTAGCACCCTCAGGCTCAGCACCTCCAGCCCCAGCAGCTCCATTACCTCCAGTACGAGCACCTCCGGGACCAGCACCACTCCCAGCTCCAGTGACGTCAGCAGAAGTACCTCCAGTGACAGAGCCCCGAGCTCCAGAAGCGCGACCCTGAAGGCGACCGTACCAGTCGTGCAGCTGCTGTGAGGTGAGAGGCACACGCGGACGAAGGCGGCTACTCCAAGGAGACCGCGCAACAGCAGACTCAGAACCCTCAGCGCCAACACCCTCAGTAGCTCCAGAACCTCCAGCTCCAGCGCCACCAGCGCCAGCACCTTCAGCAGCTCCAGAACCTCCAGCGCCAGCACCCGAAGCAGCTCCAGGACCTCCAGCTTCAGCGCCAACAGCGCCAGCACCTCCAGCAGCTCCTGAACCTCCAGCTCCAGCACCCTCAGCAGCTCCAGAACCTCCAGCAGAAACAACTCCAGTAGCAGAGTCACCAGCTCCAGCGCCTCCCGCAGCAGGGCCCCTAGCTCCATTAGCGCGACCCTGACGGCCAGCGTACCACTCAAGCAGCTGC